ACACACACACACACACACACACACACACACACACACACACACACACACACACACACACACACACACACACGAGTCCACAGTTTGAGTCAAGACCACAAAACGCCACCTTCTTTGATAGCTCAGCCCATGTCAGACACCCTGCAGGATCACCAACGTGCTGATTATACTCTTAGACTTGTTTCTCCCTAAACAGGACTGGGCCCATGCCGACATGTTCAGGGGTGTAATATATTTGTCGCTCTGAAGTGGGGGGTTACATTTACCCTTTGGAGATCATTTATAAAGACAAACAGAGGGAGAGAGAGACACATGCAAAACACTCATTTTCACCCAGTCACCTGCAGCTAGTTGGAAATTGGTGGTAGCGGCAGATTTATGGTTGGAAGTCTGGCTCCCTCCCTTTTGTTGCTGCTGGAGGTGTGCCACAGCTTCCCTACCTGCTCCCGTGACCCGACTCACCGGGGGCCGCCCAGCTCCGAGCTCCAGCCAGCCATTAGCGTCAAAAGCCGACAACGAGTCTTTAAAACATACTTAAGCAAGACGCGTCCTGCTCCATTGGGTTTATCATTAGATCAGCCTCGACAGCGCGAGCGATCAGATTTACAGCTGGCCTTTGAATTTATCTGATGATGTAGGCATTTGTTACGGTGAAAAAAGAATCAATTTCTGATTCATATTCTGAACCCATTCAGTCGTGCTGCGAACGGATTTGATTCATTCTGTTTTCGTTAGAGTTACTTGAAGAACGCAGATAAGAGCTTGGATTTAGTGCTCAAAGAAGACTAAAAATACCACCACAGAAGGAAATGAGTCACAGTTTCGCTCTGCAAAATGCTGTTAAATCATTCATCTCACAAGGCCTTCATTACACAGCTTTTAGTGCGCCGCGTGTGCATTCGTTTCAAGAGCTTCCAGCATTTTCACTGCAACAAGTGGACAAGGCTAAAGACAATAATTGGAAGGTGGAGGAGGAGGAGCAAGGAGAATATGCTCTCCAGCTTTTCCTCTCCCCTCTGTTCCCCTTTTTGACCATAAATCTCCTCACACATGATTATGTCAGTCATACTTTTGGTTTTTTTTTTCTCTCCCTCCCCCCTCCCTCTGGTTGAGACATGCACAAGCACCTGAGCGCCGTGCACCAAATTGCAGAGCACAAGGTTGTCTTTATGTGATTCCAGAGATACTGCGCGAAGGTGCAGAGCTCCTTCATGTGCTCCTCTCAAACCCACACAGTGTTCGAGGCCTGTGCGATGGAAGCCAGAGATAGGCGACAATATCCACTCCTCACAAGAGAGATCCACCACTGTTTGGCCCTCACTGGGTCTATCTAACTTCCCATGGTCTATCTGATTTTACAGGTAAACACGTGATCAAATCGCTGCAGACTTGGTTTTTCTGTGTGTGTGTGTTCGTGTGTGTCACTGACATTAAGGTCACAAATGACCTGACAAAATGCTTTGAAGGAGGCATTTATTATGCGTTAACATAACTGTGGGGCGCCAAGTGTAAAATAAAATGTTAAAAATATCACCGACACATTTTCATTATTTAGCTCACTTTATAAGTGTTAAAACATCCCACTAACATTTTATCGTTGTTTAGCTCAATGTTCTTTCATTTTGATATATACTAAATGGTAAATTCAAATGGTAATTGTTACGTGTAAAAGTTAAATCTTAAATGTGGTGGTTAAAAGTTGAAGTTTACATTTAAGATTTCCAGAATGAACGCAGCCTTTGCTGTTGGGGTTCGGCTCTTGTGACATCATAATCTTGAGACAAAAGCTGACCGTAACGTTGCTAATGTTGTTAACGCTAGAAAATTCAAATGTGTTCATTTCTTTTTTAGATTGTTATTTTTTTTTCATGTACAGTGCCCTGAGACAATGTATGTTGTGACTTGGCGCTATCTAAATAAACCGAATTAAATTGAATTCATTGAAAACAATGTGGATGGTACCTGAAGTTCTGCAGCTTGGACACCAGCTGAAACTGCAAGTTCGATAACTTGCAGGAAAGCGTTAGCAGCGTTAGCAGCGTTAGCAGCGTTAGCAGAGTTAGCAGCGTTGGCAGAGTTAGCAGAGTTAGTGGGATCAACAGTGTTAGCAGTTGCTTTTGTCTCAGGATGATGAGATCATCAACAAAAGCTGCCCACCGACAACAAAGACTGAATGTAAACTTCGACATTTATCCACAACGTTTAAAGTTTAACTTTGACATTTAGATTTTAGGATTTAATATTTATTATTGTTCAAAATTAAAACATTATTTAACATTTAGATAAAAAATATCAAAACATCAGAACAGTGAGCTAAATAACAAAAATGTGTTGTTGGAAATCTTAAACTAAGATTTTATGCTCAGAAAGTGAACTAAATAATAAAAATGTGTTGGTGACCTCTTTTTAAAACATTTTTTTAAACTTGGCCATACATAACATGCATACCTGCCATTGAAGCCATTAAAAATATTTAACATGGGTAAGAGAAAATACACAAAACTGGTGCACTGAGGTTTAAGTGAACCTGTTAAAAGTTGCCTTTAATTAAAGACCTAACAGGATGAAGGAATGCATATTTCTCACCACCTTTCATGTTTTGATCTTTCATGATAAATAATGACAAAGTTATGGCTGCTTTATTACAACTTTGGAAATAATGTAAAGCATCATCTTATTTGATGTAGCAGTTAGCAACTCTCAGTACTACTAACATCAAAATTTATCTCAAAGTCTGTCAAAGTGACAGAGTTATACCTGTGTGTGCTTTCTATGGTCAGTTGGCTGTGGCAGCCATCTTGAATCACGTTGACTCCAAAAATGAATCATGCATAGAAGTATAACCAAACATTAATTTCTAATTGTTTCATTAATATCTCTCTGGGGGTTCAGAGGATATTTTGCTAACAGACTGCCAAGGTTGAACTCAGCAGTTATTGGCTGAGTTTTTGACTGGACTTGCACAGAATCTGTCCGTGCTCACAGTGTGTAATATGAGTGACTCTCTGCTAAAATCACATTCAATTTCAGTTCATTATCTGTCAAACTGACTGAGTTATACACATTTTTGTGTTTGCTAAATTTAATGAGCTGGGATGGCCATCCTGAATTGGGTTGGGTCCAAACGTTAATCAGTTGCAGACGTGTATCTAATAATTTTTATTTGGGGTTTTCATTAAAATCCATCCAGTGTTTTATGAGATATTTTGCTAACAGATACCAAATGCACACACACAGGCAAAAAAACAAAACATTATCGCCCACATTTCAGCCACGGTTTGAAAACGTTGTGAAAGAGTTGATCTTCAAATGATCTGAGCACCCCTTATGATACTTTTTTTTTCCAGTGCCCTGGAGCGGAAATATGACGGGCCCTCATACCTGTCCCCCCTCCCCTACCCCAAACCACGCCCCCTCCCTGCACACAGAAACGTCACCTGAGCTAAGCTTACAGTAATCCTCCGACGTCTCAGGCCTCCTGACACGAGATGTTTTGAACAAAAACACGGTGCTCCACTACAAGCCTCTATCAAAGATCATCCTCCAGCATCATAATGCCAGTCAGCCGGTCAGGCGGCTCCTTAACCTCGTCAGCCTCTGGAAAAAGCAACAAGCCGCAGCAGCTTTGATTGAACCCACAGGCTCAGCCGTAGTGAAGCCTTCGCCCTCACCTCATCAGGACACAAAACCATTTAAAAATAAAGCAATCAAATAAAAATAAACAAACATGGTCTGACGTGAAACTTGAAAGACAGCCAACGAGGGAATCGGTCGGCGCATCTCGATCCTTCATTTCTCCCGCAGCCAGCCAGGTAAAAGTGCACAAACAGGCCACTGTGGGAAGTAAACACTCGGCGTGGATTGATGGTGTCACGTCTTCGAGGCTCCCTGACATGTGGCTGAGTTCAGAGGGAGTTGCAGCGAATTCTCTCACCGAAGCCTCTTGCCCAGACACGCTCCTCAAATGTATCATTGCAGAAAGCCATGAAACAATTTGAGCTGATGCTGCCAGTTTAAATAACTAAACAGTGTGGTCAGAGCTATTATATCATTAATCTTTTTCCCTCGCTCCACTCATGCTCTGCCAAGATATGGAAACACCCTCACCTTCAACCAAAACGAGGTAAGGAGATACCTGAAAGTACTTCTTTTGATATGTATCCCACAATGCAGGTGACGAAAAAAAATTGTTTTGAAGTTTGTGCTGCAGACCTTTTCACGTTATCTGCATTTCATTCCCTGCTGCTGCATAGAAAACGTATAAACTTGCTCTGCACGTTTCAACGCTTGGATCGCACACCCGGGCTCGCAGCGTGCTTCGTTTGCACGCACTGTTCTCGACTCTGATGTCATCAGCTCTTAACAACCAGTTGTATGGGAGTTTTATGTCCGCGGCTCCCTGTAAATAACAGCCAGTGTTGGCTGTAAACAAGCCTTTCTGTCTGACGGGTGATATCTCCGGTC